ATTATGTTGATTAAAAGAAGTGATCTTAAAAAAATACATTTAAAAATTTACGGGTGCGGACAGTATATATGCTCATCATGTAATTGGAATATCGCGAAAATATTAACCAGTAGTCATATGAAGATTCCATCTAAACATAATCTTATGATACTTAGTACTACACAGTGTGAATGCCTAATTTTTAATGCCACTTAAAGAAAATAACACAACTACAATAGTTGCCCACAATTTCACACGACAGTTTGGAAGCTGTGACCTCATTTAGTCAAGTACCTTGACTTATGAAATATTTATTATTAATTAATTTATTCATTCAACTATTATTAATTTCTTGTAGGTTAAATATAAAGCAAACCAAATTAACTATGACCATCAGTACTATCATGTTCTAAAGGAATTAAACACTTAACAGATTCATCACTAGCTGTCGTAAATTTTAAGTTGAAATCATAGAGCTTATAGTTGCAATCACCAGATTAGATTTATTATTTAAAATCATAAACTGATCTCAACTTGACCACTAATGAGATCTTGAAAGCAATGGACAGCCGTCTCACTTTCATTTGGGACTGCTCACGGATAGGTATTCACGACCATGGATCCTAGAACAGAACCTAGGATCATCAATCTCGTGCATGAACGCCTAACCTCTGGACCACGAAGCCGGGGTCCATTACATTTAACTCAAGGCTTTATTTACAAGCTAATGAACGAAAACAAATAACGAAATTGTAATTGTTTAGGATGTTTCTTTAAAAAATTCAAAGGTATATTAAATATGACTCCAACTCAATAAACTTATTCCTCTAGGGTTTTTTTCATTCAAACCATTAATTTATCCTTAAATTGCAGTAGTTTGGATAATCTTATTGTTGATATTTTGAATGAAATTTCATTAGTCTTGGCTGGAACATGAGCATACTATGAAGATCGCCTCAATATACCCATTATGACACAATTTGATATAGAAATGCATGTCTCGGCTCCCACTGCTAACCACATTCTATTTATTCTGAATAAACTTGTTTCATAATGGGTATATTGAGGAAGTCCTCACGGTATGCTCATGTGTCAACAAAGTCTGATCAAATTTCAGTCAGATTATCAACAACGAGATAATCCAAACAATTTCAATTGAGTGTCTCTCTAGATTCATTAGCTTAGTGGATAACCCGATGGTGTTTGAAGCAAAAGGTACTGTTTGAATTCCGGGGTGAACACTAACTCTGGGATGCGTCTATATTCAGTAATAATAATAATAATGTGAGTCATTTGACTGTTAATTGAAGCAAGAATAGTATTTTCCGTAGACATCGTCATTTCATTCTATTTGTGTGGGCTGTGATATCGCCCGGGTGCCAAGACCGAATCGGGAGTTTCTAGAAACTATCTAGTAAAATTTTATATTGGATGTTTGTGGAGATGATTGAGTTTTCGTAAATAACTTCATTTACTTATCTTATTTAAACCAACACTGAAAACAAGGAAGCACTGGACAGCTATTTCATCTTAATATCGGTGGCACAATATCCCGAATCAACTGAAGTTAGACATCTAAACTGTTGGATGGCAATCCATTCGTCTGAAGACTAGGAACTCGTCACGAAAGCTAAAGGTTTTAAGTTTATTTGCCGGTGAATTCATGGCAATACGCTGTTGAAGATTTCTATTAGATGATGAAGCTGTTGTCTCGTGTTTCCTGGTTCCAAGTGGTAGCCAATGAATGGTGTAATTTATGACAACATCGTTAATATAGCACATGGCATACATATTTGGATCAGTAATATGGAACTATAACTGGAAAGTGATCTCTACTAACAAAACTTGAAATGGTAGATAGGTCTATTTTATTTACTTGACTGCATGAAAATCATTTTAAACTCAAATATTGATATAGGTAAGCATTTTATGTATGAATAGTCATACTGATTAACACCAAACAATGAATTATAGTCTACAAACAGAATAAAGGCTACACAGAAATATGAAATCTGGTGCTCTAGCTTACATCGAGTCATGAATTTAACTATTAAAACTATTACAATCTTCACAAATCCCCATTTTGATCATTATCATCATATGCTCACTAGTGACTGGCTTTAAGATGATTTCCTGGAGTTCTAGTGAGAATTCGTGGCTACTGGAGTCCAATCGGTGTCTGGAGGAGACAAGTATCTACTTTATACAATGGATGAATGGTTGTGCAATATCGTGAATTGATTAAGATTAGACATGAACACTGTTGGATACCGGCTCAATGGTCCGTAGTTTAAGCATTTGCACGCGAGACCGAAGGTACTGAGTTCGAATCCCGCATGCACGATCGCGAGTGCGCACTGCTAAGGAGTGCCGTTCTAGGACGAAACGGCCGTCTAGTGAGTTCAGTTTTCCATGTCGGTCTAGCTTTCATCAACTCATGAATTCAACATTTAAGAGACTAATTATCTGCTATGAATTGTTTTGTCTTCCTGTATTTCTATTTTAACCAACAAAGTTTCCAAAGGTCAGATAACATATTTTATATTTTTTTGACAAACCGACTTTTAATTTATTATAATTCACTCTTAAACCTGATATTTAGAAGCCGATATTCATTTTTGCATCATATTTTGAACACTTATTATCAGCTCTGACTTCGTTCCAAAAAAACTGTTGATTTATAAACAGAGACACAAGCAACACAAAAATGGACTGTTGATTTATGTTTTAAATTAAGGTTACTGTACAAACCTCGCTCATTTGAATGTTACTTAAAAAAACTTATACTTCATTAGTTTTTCCATCGAATTAATCAAACAAAATAAACGGCATCATATATTTGATAATATTAAGTATAACAGTATGTTGCTAATGGTGATTTCAAGGTAAACCCTGTTTTAAATTTTTCTCTAAATGAAACTGATTAGTCAAATGGGAGAAATATTTAAAATAATCAAATGAAATGAATAACCGGTAGGTCCCGAAATCCAAAGAAATGATTAGGAACTTAATGCCGAGCTCTCAGCGAAAGAACTATAGGTTCTTGCCTTGAGCCTAAGTAAGATTTTGGATAAATAAATACTACTGAAAATTGCAGTACTGAGAACAATATCTCTGGTCTCATCAACCTAAACAAATAGGATTTGGATGGTGTAATAAGAAAACGAATATTATCAAGACTATGTGCTATATTAGCGCAATGTATCTCAAACAAATATATACTTGTTACGAACATTTATATATAAAAATAAAAGGTCAACTAGATTAGAAATGGAGGGTAAGAGGAGGCAAAGATAATAAAGAAAATAATATGGAAAACAACTTGAAGCTTTATCACGTTGGTTAATAAGCTAATATTACCATGGTAGGTTTAAGGTGGGAACAAATTGTCTCTAAAATCATAAATTGAGTTTGAATTTTCGTGTGGTTAAGGCCTCAATAGACCTTAGTTTACGGCCTTTAACACTTTTGTACAATTTACTAGTTGAATTCGTGAGTCAATTAAAGTTACATCACCATGGGAAACCTGGAAGCACTTGAGGACTGTTTCGTCCTAGTATAGGACTACTCAGCAGCGCGCACTCACGATCCCGCATGCGAGATTCGAACCCAGTACCTTCGGTCTTGCGCCCAAACACTTAAACTATAGACCACTGAGCCAGTATCCAACAGTGTTAATGTCGAACTTCAACCAATCCACGACAACACCACAAAAGCCTTGTTTATATCAATCTTATGACGTGTTTCACTCATTTGTTTGGTAATAGAGGATGTTAAACGTTTATCACCTACTCTTATTGAGTCTTTTGATTTTATTTGTTTCTGCAATCACTTAGGTGCATGTTCAAATACCCTAATTTGAAGATCACGGTTGCTTCTTTCTGTGTATTTGTGACCACTAACACACATCTTTAAATTAGTAAACACAGTAGGATGTGACGCAGCCATTTTCATGCCTTTTAGGTTTTCGGTGAAGCATGGACTTTGTTTTTTTCTTGATAAAGACCTTTCGTTATTAACTGTTTTAAGCTTTTTAATCAGTCTGTCTGACACACCTCTGAACTGTAAGGTGATGTGGACATGTTTTTGTTGGGCCATTTTGTCTAGCTGACCTTTTATTTAAATATATTTATATACATATGAATTCATTTTGTATTGTTTGTTTGAATCTTCGCATTGATGTTTAGGACTGCAATTGATCAGTCTCTTATTGCCACATATGTATTCTGTGCGGATTACCTCGATATAAGCAAACATGGAGAGTGGCTAGAAGTAGAATGCATGACGTGCGTTTCGTCCTATTTGGGACTCGTCAGCTGGATGTTCGTACGTCACACAGTTAATGCTCTTTCTGAGACTCAAACTCAGTGCCAAGATGGAACCAAGATGGATCAATGTTCAGTCAATAAATTAACAATGGGAAAATCAAAACTAGTAAAAATCCTATTAGAATATATCTTAGTTTAACAGTCAATGGTAAAATGTGAACTGTCTATGTATATCATTTTATGGATATTTCTGTTCAAAGGTAAGTGCTTTATACATTAAATATACGGTATTCTTAACATATATTTGTGTTGGTATTAATCCATTTTATTGTCTTGTGCTTCCATTAATACCAGTATAAATATCAGAACAAATTGCTACATTTATAAGTGCTAAAAGTGATGCATAGTGCACATCGGCTTTAGACAAAAATATGCGGTGTACAAGAGTTCAAACACAGATATATTAATGAACAAATTTTGAACTCAAACGAATATGACCATCTATAAACAATCACGATCTATAAATGCCTACAACTTTCCGATGTTTGTTTATACTATTTAAAGAAGTTTGAAACGAAAAAGCGAAACGTTAAGCTATCAATAAACGAATCCGTTTTAGAAAATCAAATTTCAAAGAAAGCGAATCGAAAATATGCTTCGTTATATTTCCTAAGCTGAAATTGTATATATCATATCATAAGTATAAGGAGTATTATCCAATTGGATAAAACTATAAATATGTTTCGCATTATCATCGGAAAGTAGATACAAACAAACAAATCGAAGCAATGACAGAATAAATCATAACATATCAAGGTTTAAAAGTAACGGTAGAACTGAAAAGAAACAAGTTAGAAATTGTACAATAAACATGAATTTACATGGGGTTCAACAGAAGGGATTGTCTCACAGAGACAAAAATCATTAACATTTGAAAACTAACCAGATGTAAAATAACACATAACACTTCTAATCACTTTTCCTAACTAATCAAGTGGCGTCGTTGTTACTGGTGTTTCCGAATGTCTTAAAATATCCAATTCATCTTCCTTATCTTTCATTTGTAAATCTCTCACCATTCGCAGTATATCCTTTACAGAAACGTGTATTCCTTTATCTAAACATACGGTAATACGTATCAGTCCGTTTGTATCGATTACAAAAATGCTCCTACACCAAGCAAAAATAAGTAAGCGTCAATGAATAACAACTAAATGGTAATTTATAAGACATTATTTTGAAACTTTTTTTCTTAACCATATAAAATTGACCAACATTTGAGAAATTAAGAAAATAACATTTACAGATGTATGTATTGTTGTACAAAATGTATTCGATAAATGTTATAAAATTCAGCAACAAACTGTAATCGATTTACTTTACAACGACTGAAAATATATTTATATCAAATTGCTTAATTGTTCTTTTTTTGAAAAAAATTGACCACTGACGATTAGTTGTTAAAAGAAACTTTCTCAGATTTAATATGATACTGCCGGAGTAGATACATATGTATGCTTACGAAAGAAAATGACAGTTAGTTAGTAAGTAGAAACGCTGAAAATTCTTCATCTTTACCCTTGCAAGAACGGCAATTTAATTTCAAATTTAGATAAACAAGAAACACTACAGTATGTTGGAAGCTGGAGGTTATAGATTTTATACATCGTGAAACTAACATTGATTTACTTCAGCTTAACAGCTAAATAATAATAGTCGCAGCAAATCATCAGGTAACTAAAGTTAGAGTTTGAGTTCAAGTTTCACTTTTATTAATTGTCAGCTATTTTAACCAATAAATCACACATCATGAACCACTTTCCACTAAATATATCATTTCTGTGGTGTAAATTCATCCATATACGTCAAACCTCAACCATGTTTTTCTAATGATAATTCGTTCGACTTTCTTCATTTACAAAAATAATAAAAATAATTTGATACCCCTGTAAAACTATCTAACAAATGTTGAAAATTAAGGCGTGGTTTCCCTAAATTTGGTTAACACGTTAAAGAGATTTTGTTTCATAATGAAAAATATATAATTTTGCCATTATAGTAATTACATGTAAAATTGACATCTAAGTACATTTTGAAGAGAACAATGTAAGTGATGCATTGATATTGATTTAATTGTTTTCATAATTACTAAAAATTATCACTTTGCTTTGGAATATATATATATATATATACATAGTATTTAGATAGAATAAAACGAAATGTTATTCAGTAATTGACAAACTATATATCATGAACAGTATTATTATTCAGTTATATACCTGCCCATAATTAATTTAAAATTTTCGTAAAATACACCCATCGTTAACCATGGCAACCCTAGATCGATAACACACATCTTTTATCCTCCTTCCCTAAAAACTTAACTACTATAGTTATAAGAAGACGAAGATTATCAGAACTATGAGATATATTAACGCAATACATTTCGAATAATCTAATCACACATATACTTGTCAAGGGCATAGTTATATACAAATGAATTTATGACGACATTAATAATAATAATGGTGATAAGCATAGATTGATAGTGACTAGCAGTGGAATGAAGGACGCACGTTTCGTCCAATTCGGGACTCATCAGCTGAATGTACCTGCATCTCAGAGTTGATGTTCACTCATGGGCTCGAACCCAGAACCGCTGGCGAATATTAAAAAAGATTATTAGTCTTACTTCCTAAACTTTACTACAATGAAAAGGTTTTATAGAAAGGCTTACATTAAAGCACTTCCATTATCCTCATTAGAAACTCCATATGCTTTGCAGATTCTCATATTTTTATCTTCTAGTAATGGAAAATGGACATTTTCACCAAGTCCATTCTTCTGAATTGGCGCGCAATACCATGCGATATGAGATTCTAGGGAATCCGGAGAGATTGCTAAAATTTCACAATTGATTTCTTGAAAGTTTGACAAATAACTGTTGAAATTTAATAGCTCCTGTGATGATAGTTTTAGGCTATAAATAATTTAGTATGAAAAGGACTGATAAATTAACTATGCTCTACAAAGAATGAAGGCAGTTGCACAAATAACACTATAATGTAACAATATTTAGTTATTTAGTGATTTAAGACAGTTAGAAAAAACCCTGAATACAAGTCACGTACTTGTTGTCACCCTTCAGCAAGATGTCTGAAACGTGAAGAGAACTATTGCTACTAGTGGCACGTGGTTTGAATCTCAAGAACAGAATCAGTTCTCACGATATTGTAGGCTAGCCTTGTCAAAACTATGCCTAGGGCTTCTTTTTAAATGTAATACAACACCTAACACCATAACAAAGTATATGTGACATTTCAACCTCAGTCAACATTATTAATCAGAAAAGCTTTAGTTTCTGCATGGCTTACGTTGACACCAAGATACCTGTCTCAAATTATTATTAACCTACCAAGAAGTTTAAATGAAATTTTCGTAAACAAAAAGACTGATCGTCCACTCAATGCTTTTATTACTCTTCACTAAGCAATGGACAAATATATTTTGATATTTGCGTATTTACCTAGCTATTGTCATAGCAAGTATAATAAAAGGTCTTTTTAGTAGTTGCTTTTCGTAAAATTGAGGACAGTGATCTTTCGCTTTTACATAGAACAAAAACAGTAGAATTCTCGCACAGTAACTGAAGGAGCATCAAGGCTAACATTATAATCGTTTGCATACCCATATATTCAGTATAATAATTATAAATCCCTTCGTTTTTTTATCTGGAAAAATATGAAGTGAATGCATTTAATCATAGGTTAATACTCAGGTTTATGTAGTCTAGTACTTAATCCTGATCTAATCTTGTCGACTAAGTTCACAACATCGTAATTAAATTGGCTAACTCATATTTTATGTTTTTTAGTGAGATAGTCGATTAACATCAGTTGGAGTTCAGTGGAGTATACTCCAGAAATCAAATGATTCTCCGTATGGAGCACAAGGCATCCAAAATACATTGTTACTTCACTGTCTACCTTTAACGTGGTTAGACTCCACCAGTTTTGACTCTTCCTTAGACTTAATCTTAGAGCTAATAATTAGTAAAGAGACGATTATTATTTGGTTAAATTATCTGTAGAAATTAGTTGAATTTGGAATGATAGCAACAATTACCCTAATTATTTTTCTTACCATATTTTGCTTCTTATGAAAGCAATTCAAGTTTTGAAACTGCTATTGAGTTGTCATACTAAATAATATCATTCATGTTGCGTCAAAAAAACTGTCATACTTCCTGTACTCCGCCTCTAACCTTTATATAATAGATAAAATATCTGTTCACTTGTTCAGTTCAACTCCAAAGCCTTTTTTGAGTTGTCAGTTCTTAATATACATTCGACTTAAAATGTACCAAAGGTAATGGCTGGATCGATATCTCCCCTACCCATTTTTTTGTTTTCTTGTTTGCTCTGATTATTAACGCATACACAAATTGTTCTTTCCATTTTCTGTTGATTGATTTTGACCGGACCATTATGTAGTTACCTTAATTCCTTAATTTGGAAAACTTTCTGGTTTAAACTGATCTTTGGTCATTCAGTAAATATATGCTCTTTGGAGTAAACTTAAGAATTTAAAGAATTAATATGGCTCAGCTTATAAAATTGTATACGGGTTTAATAATGTCTTTCAAAATATAAATATTTATCGGTTATGCTGAAGCTGTAGATGAACAAACAATCACCGATGATACTTTCCGTTTCGCTAGAAATTTTACGCTTTATATGTCTTTTCATGCCCTTCAAATAAAACAATTAAGTTATTGCAAACGCTTCTTCTCGTGAAGAAACAATGATTTATCTGAATCTGCATTGTATTTTTTTAAACTAAAAAGTAATCACTGCAACAGCGTTTAATAGAGTCCCTCAGCAATCCCCAATAGCAAGATCTGGAGCCAAACTAATGAAAAATTTATTTGCTTTAAAATTCAGTAGACAAGTGAAGAAAGTTTTCCATAAAATATTAGCAAACTAATTTCGACTGAAAATTTAAGAGCCAACCGAATGAACAAAAACACGAAGAAAAGTGGAGAGCATGTTAAGACGAAAGTAAAACCCTAGTAAAAATACCGATGTGATGGAAGTTTCTAGGCTGAATTCTCAGACGTTGCCCGACCACGGAGTCTTGTTTTATGTACTGTGTCTTCTTTTGAATACTGTAAGGCTAAAGACCCGTAATAATCAGTAATGATAAGCCATAAATTATAAACTAGTGAAAGTTCTAAAGCAGTGACTAATAAACGTTTTCTAGCGCTGTGGGCACTTCTCAAAGTCTTCAAGTCCATTGATGAATAAGTGTTTCCGATTATATTCTCCATCAGCTTGATACCTCACCTCAGATTCTGCATCGGTCTGCTTCACTGTGTCTCAACGCGAAAGTTAATACACTTGGGTGAGTTCAACGAGTGAATAATTTGAGTGCTAAGACGTTCCAAGCCATTCTATGGCGAACATAAAAACATTCAAGTCTCCTCCCCTTATCTTATTTTAAACCCTAAAGTAGTGTCATGCTGACGTTTTGTATCTTAAATGAATGTTATATAGTAGTTTAGCTCTGTCTAGGATCAATCTTTCACTAGACCATAAAATTAAGGTTAAAAATCAGAGCAGAACAAACGCACAGACAGATCTCGCATTTCCAGTGAAGCGGCCAATAACTGCAACGTCTTACACGAAAAACTAAATAAACAATATTGCCTAATTATCTCGTATACCCTAAATATATATACATATTATTGTACAGAAATTGGTAACATCGCAATCTCCCTATTTTGAAGGACATTCTGCCTGTTTAGAGTAAATTTCGAAGAAGCCAAAATAAAGAAATTTGGAGGTCTTTTGAAAAGATGGTATAAAAACCTCGAAATTTCCCCAGGTCTGTGGTCAATCCTCAAAGTGTTTGGAGAAATATTGAGTTTTTTCAAACATTTCCGCAAGATCTTATAACATTTTAGGGTTTTTCCCAAAACATTCCAGAAACCTTGGTGAAAGCTACCATATTTTTACAACTTTAGCGAAAACCCTCAAATTTACCCAAAGTTTCCTCAAAATAAAGGAAAACATGTCTGTAATTGTTGGCAGTAATTCGTTTAAAAAAACCTACAAGTTCGAAGGATAAAATATGGCGACCAAGTATTTTCCAACATAATCTTCTAATCTTGTCACACCTTTGGTCCCGTTCTGCAGAGATTTCGTAGAAAAGGCAGGTGCTCTGCTGCAAACTCGGCGAACCCGGAGGTCTTGAGAAAGCTTATATTTGTGAGACAAATATATAAAGTTAACTATCACTACCTTATATTGTTTGTACATAGTTCTGCTGTCAGTGAAAATATGTAGTACTTTTGAAAAAGAGACGACTTTCAAGGTCATATAGAGGCCATCGATCGGCATTTCAGTATTCTGTCCTGGTGTTCAGATAACAAGGTCCCAATAACAACTTATTACTTGGCTGTCTACTGAATGTTTTGTATGACATTAGATTTTAATTTCTTGGCTGATAACTTCCGATTTTTATCTACAGAAAGCAGAACGATAGAAGTTTCTGCATTCAATATTCAATCACTCGGTGTTATTCTCGCAAGCCAATGCTCGTGAAAAACGATTTCTTGACAAGATCACATTTACCCAGCTCGTTTTTTACTCTCGAGAAACGGAAATGTTTACAAAATTGGCCAGCTAGTTTCGCCAGCTAAGAGTTATCAAATCTTAATTCGGCTAGACCGCCAACCGTTCTGGGACAATGCTATTATTTTATTATGCTATCATTTTGTTTGAAAGCATCGACAATTTATTTTTTGGCTTTCACTCATTCATTTTGGTTCATTCCGTACTAGATGACTTGGTCCATGATCGTCTGATACTTCACAGACGGTTCCAGACGTTGAATAAGTAAGGCCAAGTTTATTATTGAAACTCGAGTTTCACTATGTACCAAACTCTGCCCACTATTATTCCTAAAATTTATCTGCGATCCCTCAGTAGACATAAAATACCCAGTTTTCATCCACCGAGACAGTGAGAAATGTTGAAAAGTATTCAAATACAAGGGTGATTCACGTGATCTTCAAAGAGAGCTCGCTCTTCCAGTGAAATTGACGCTCAGGAATAGATTGATATTCGAACTACATTGTCTCTGAACGTAATAATTAGATGAAGATATGTGGAGAGCTTGTTAAGACGAAAGTAAAACCCTAGTAAAAATACCGATGTGATGGAAGTTTCTAGGCTGAATTCTCAGACGTTGCCCGACCACGGAGTCTTGTTTTATGTACTGTGTCTTCTTTTGAATACTGTAAGGCTAAAGACCCGTAATAATCAGTAATGATAAGCCATAAATTATAAACTAGTGAAAGTTCTAAAGCAGTGACTAATAAACGTTTTCTAGCGCTGTGGGCACTTCTCAAAGTCTTCAAGTCCATTGATGAATAAGTGTTTCCGATTATATTCTCCATCAGCTTGATACCTCACCTCAGATTCTGCATCGGTCTGCTTCACTGTGTCTCAACGCGAAAGTTAATACACTTGGGTGAGTTCAACGAGTGAATAATTTGAGTGCTAAGACGTTCCAAGCCATTCTATGGCGAACATAAAAACATTCAAGTCTCCTCCCCTTATCTTATTTTAAACCCTAAAGTAGTGTCATGCTGACGTTTTGTATCTTAAATGAATGTTATATAGTAGTTTAGCTCTGTCTAGGATCAATCTTTCACTAGACCATAAAATTAAGGTTAAAAATCAGAGCAGAACAAACGCACAGACAGATCTCGCATTTCCAGTGAAGCGGCCAATAACTGCGACGTCTTACACGAAAAACTAAATAAACAATATTGCCTAATTATCTCGTATACCCTAAATATATATACATATTATTGTACAGAAATTGGTAACATCGCAATCTCCCTATTTTGAAGGACATTCTGCCTGTTTAGAGTAAATTTCGAAGAAGCCAAAATAAAGAAATTTGGAGGTCTTTTGAAAAGATGGTATAAAAACCTCGAAATTTCCCCAGGTCTGTGGTCAATCCTCAAAGTGTTTGGAGAAATATTGAGTTTTTTCAAACATTTCCGCAAGATCTTATAACATTTTAGGGTTTTTCCCAAAACATTCCAGAAACCTTGGTGAAAGCTACCATATTTTTACAACTTTAGCGAAAACCCTCAAATTTACCCAAAGTTTCCTCAAAATAAAGGAAAACATGTCTGTAATTGTTGGCAGTAATTCGTTTAAAAAAACCTACAAGTTCGAAGGATAAAATATGGCGACCAAGTATTTTCCAACATAATCTTCTAATCTTGTCACACCTTTGGTCCCGTTCTGCAGAGATTTCGTAGAAAAGGCAGGTGCTCTGCTGCAAACTCGGCGAACCCGGAGGTCTTGAGAAAGCTTATATTTGTGAGGCAAATATATAAAGTTAACTATCACTACCTTATATTGTTTGTACATAGTTCTGCTGTCAGTGAAAATATGTAGTACTTTTGAAAAAGAGACGACTTTCAAGGTCATATAGAGGCCATCGATCGGCATTTCAGTATTCTGTCCTGGTGTTCAGATAACAAGGTCCCAATAACAACTTATTACTTGGCTGTCTACTGAATGTTTTGTATGACATTAGATTTTAATTTCTTGGCTGATAACTTCCGATTTTTATCTACAGAAAGCAGAACGATAGAAGTTTCTGCATTCAATATTCAATCACTCGGTGTTATTCTCGCAAGCCAATGCTCGTGAAAAACGATTTCTTGACAAGATCACATTTACCCAGCTCGTTTTTTACTCTCGAGAAACGGAAATGTTTACAAAATTGGCCAGCTAGTTTCGCCAGCTAAGAGTTATCAAATCTTAATTCGGCTAGACCGCCAACCGTTCTGGGACAATGCTATTATTTTATTATGCTATCATTTTGTTTGAAAGCATCGACAATTTATTTTTTGGCTTTCACTCATTCATTTTGGTTCATTCCGTACTAGATGACTTGGTCCATGATCGTCTGATACTTCACAGACGGTTCCAGACGTTGAATAAGTAAGGCCAAGTTTATTATTGAAACTCGAGTTTCACTATGTACCAAACTCTGCCCACTATTATTCCTAAAATTTATCTGCGATCCCTCAGTAGACATAAAATACCCAGTTTTCATCCACCGAGACAGTGAGAAATGTTGAAAAGTATTCAAATACAAGGGTGATTCACGTGATCTTCAAAGAGAGCTCGCTCTTCCAGTGAAATTGACGCTCAGGAATAGATTGATATTCGAACTACATTGTCTCTGAACGTAATAATTAGATGAAGATATGTGGAGAGCTTGTTAAGACGAAAGTAAAACCCTAGTAAAAATACCGATGTGATGGAAGTTTCTAGGCTGAATTCTCAGACGTTGCCCGACCACGGAGTCTTGTTTTATGTACTGTGTCTTCTTTTGAATACTGTAAGGCTAAAGACCCGTAATAATCAGTAATGATAAGCCATAAATTATAAACTAGTGAAAGTTCTAAAGCAGTGACTAATAAACGTTTTCTAGCGCTGTGGGCACTTCTCAAAGTCTTCAAGTCCATTGATGAATAAGTGTTTCCGATTATATTCTCCATCAGCTTGATACCTCACCTCAGATTCTGCATCGGTCTGCTTCACTGTGTCTCAACGCGAAAGTTAATACACTTGGGTGAGTTCAACGAGTGAATAATTTGAGTGCTAAGACGTTCCAAGCCATTCTATGGCGAACATAAAAACATTCAAGTCTCCTCCCCTTATCTTATTTTAAACCCTAAAGTAGTGTCATGCTGACGTTTTGTATCTTAAATGAATGTTATATAGTAGTTTAGCTCTGTCTAGGATCAATCTTTCACTAGACCATAAAATTAAGGTTAAAAATCAGAGCAGAACAAACGCACAGACAGATCTCGCATTTCCAGTGAAGCGGCCAATAACTGCAACGTCTTACACGAAAAACTAAATAAACAATATTGCCTAATTATCTCGTATACCCTAAATATATATACATATTATTGTACAGAAATTGGTAACATCGCAATCTCCCTATTTTGAAGGACATTCTGCCTGTTTAGAGTAAATTTCGAAGAAGCCAAAATAAAGAAATTTGGAGGTCTTTTGAAAAGATGGTATAAAAACCTCGAAATTTCCCCAGGTCTGTGGTCAATCCTCAAAGTGTTTGGAGAAATATTGAGTTTTTTCAAACATTTCCGCAAGATCTTATAACATTTTAGGGTTTTTCCCAAAACATTCCAGAAACCTTGGTGAAAGCTACCATATTTTTACAACTTTAGCGAAAACCCTCAAATTTACCCAAAGTTTCCTCAAAATAAGGAAAACATGTCTGTAATTGTTGGCAGTAATTCGTTTAAAAAAACCTACAAGTTCGAAGGATAAAATATGGCGACCAAGTATTTTCCAACATAATCTTCTAATCTTGTCACACCTCTGGTCCCGTTCTGCAGAGATTTCGTAGAAAAGGCAGGTGCTCTGCTGCAAACTCGGCGAACCCGGAGGTCTTGAGAAAGCTTATATTTGTGAGGCAAATATATAAAGTTAACTATCACTACCTTATATTGTTTGTACATAGTTCTGCTGTCAGTGAAAATATGTAGTACTTTTGAAAAAGAGACGACTTTCAAGGTCATATAGAGGCCATCGATCGGCATTTCAGTATTCTGTCCTGGTGTTCAGATAACAAGGTCCCAATAACAACTTATTACTTGGCTGTCTACTGAATGTTTTGTATGACATTAGATTTTAATTTCTTGGCTGATAACTTCCGATTTTTATCTACAGAAAGCAGAACGATAGAAGTTTCTGCATTCAATATTCAATCACTCGGTGTTATTCTCGCAAGCCAATGCTCGTGAAAAACGATTTCTTGACAAGATCACATTTACCCAGCTCGTTTTTTACTCTCGAGAAACGGAAATGTTTACAAAATTGGCCAGCTAGTTTCGCCAGCTAAGAGTTATCAAATCTTAATTCGGCTAGACCGCCAACCGTTCTGGGACAATGCTATTATTTATTATGCTATCATTTTGTTTGAAAGCATCGACAATTTATTTTTTGGCTTTCACTCATTCATTTTGGTTCATTCCGTACTAGATGACTTGGTCCATGATCGTCTGATACTTCACAGACGGTTCCAGACGTTGAATAAGTAAGGCCAAGTTTATTATTGAAACTCGAGTTTCACTATGTACCAAACTCTGCCCACTATTATTCCTAAAATTTATCTGCGATCCCTCAGTAGACATAAAATACCCAGTTTTCATCCACCGAGACAGTGAGAAATGTTGAAAAGTATTCAAATACAA